CAAGAAATGTTAAAATAGTTCTTAGTATATGCAAAATAACCCGTCTCGCACGCGATTCTGATACATTAATCATAAATTTCGCTGCTCTATGCATTCCGAGTTCATCGAATCCGTATTTCGATTTTAGAGACACGTTTTATACTTCGAATCATTCACATGCTAAAAATGGAGGTTCAAAATTAAATTATTTAATTAGAGGTCGCTTTAAAATCAAGCAACAAAATCCTATTCTACCATAGTATTGTCTTTTATTGATATAACTTTCACATTTCATAATAAAACATTTTACCGGATTGAAGTTATGTATTTACAATTATTTTTCATAATTTTAAATTTAACCGACGTTTCGCGTGCTTTACAGCGTGTGTGGTCACGGTGACTGAAGACAAAAGGTGTTGAATGTCAAAAAGTATCACAGCTGTAGAAAAAGTTGTGTTATCTGTATTTGTTTCCCCGGAGTTGGTATCGACTAAAAGATGGAGGGTTTTGGCAGAAATGGCTCACGGTGTCCTCTATTTTCGCGGATTGTTTATTTTGAGATTTTAATTTGGATATTATTGGATCACAGGTGTTTGACAATTTTAGGCCGTCTTCTCTATTGAAATTGGACGTTCAAGTCCCAATAATAATCCCAACTAAACAAACAAAAAAATAATTTTCCTTCTTAATCTTCTAAGGGCAAAGGTATAAGGTATGTTAACTAAAGCTGGCGGCTTCAACACATTTACACTTTGTGCTTGTGTAGTGTCTGTGAATAAGCGCGAGACGTGATGTCAAACTGAAATACAATCATAAATACATCATGAATAGACTGTCCGTCGTGTATGAGTGGACTAAAATGTATAGCATGGCAAAAAAATCATATTTTGAAACATACTGTATGTGAAATTGCATTAGTGTGAGTACTGTGAACCCGCCAGCTTTCGATAACCGACCTATATGTATCTCTAAAGATTCAGTGTCAAATGTACCTTAACGCCTTTAGTACACCTACGCGTTCGTATGCGGCTGCGAGTCTTTGCGAAATAATTGCGGTAGCGAAATATCTGCGGAACGTTAGTACACTGCAGTTTTTTCGCAAGGAAATGTCATTGTAGCTTTATTTTTTTACCATCTATAATAAATATGATAAAATTCAAGAAAAGACGGGGTTTCTTGAATTTTCCTCCATGCCACCTCTTTTTTGTATGCATTTTTGTAATTAAAATGCCCAACTAAATATAATTCGGGATAATTTCGAATCAAATTTAATAATAATTCAATATTTTCGGCTTCCATTGTGCGAAATTCTGTCCTCACTGACAGAACGCGTGGTGACGCATTGCGATGCGAAACTCCGCTAGCGAAACGGCTGCGTCTGTGTAACAGCCATTTCGCAGTTACTTGCGAAACAATACCGACAAGGACGCAACTATTTCATCTAGCTATATAATAGAGCGAGACAAAACACATGCGAAACGTTGCCATACAACTTACAGTTTTTTCGTCGTTTCGCTGCCGCATGCGATTGCGTAGGTGTACTAAAGGCGTAAGTGCCAACTTCAGCCAGTTCATAAAATACTCATTTGATATTATTAATCCATTTCATAATATTGTATGCAACATACAAAATATCCAGGTTACTAAAGTGGCCCGTTTTTCCATCACAAAAATATTTCAGTGGATCTAAAACCCTGTCTTGGCTTCAGATTGCTTATATATCTTTTTTGATTTTCTATGAACAGCCTTCTATGCCTGATACAAGTTGTGGATCTAAGATATTGCAGTTTCCTTATTATATTTCATTTCACTGTTCGACTGTATGTAATTACGCACAGAAGATAATTCTATTTGTCATTAAAAGCAAAGACTTCAATGATTACCAGATGAAATGGTGTACTAATACCGATTCTACAAGTAACAACAATCTTCTAATGTGTCTTATCCAATATATAAACTACACATCCATGCGATGAAAATGCACAAGTCTTGTTACTTACGTAACTTACGCTAATGTTCTTGGACTTGCACTCGCTGCCTGCTGAATTTAATATTGCTTATGACACGTAGCTTTGCATTTTCCTTAACATCGCCTGTCTGCGCTTTGTAATTGTTTGAACAACTTGCAGTAAATACCTATTCTTAATTAAGGCGAGGGAAAATTGATCTTAATAATATTAAGTTACGTTTATATTCGGTGGAGTCTCACAAGGTGTTTTCACGGTTTTCTGACAATATTTCTTTTTTTTTCTTACCGTCTTTCAGTACTGCAGATATTTCTAAATGACTGAAAATTGTCATGAAATATGTATTTTGTTATACGTTGAAAATTGTATCCTAATATGTTATATGTCTGCCTATCTTACTTACTTCATCTACTTAAGACTTTTCGCGAAGATTTTTTTATTTATAAAAGTTTGCCAACGATCGATACACTGATACATTAATTTAAAAAAAACACAAAATACAAATTTAAATGTGACAAGCACTTATAGGCAAATATAACATACACGAAGAGAAAATACAAATATTAAACAAAACAATTAAATTAAACATTAAAAAACTTAACGAAAATCGATTTTAAAGTGTGAGGGGAGCAGCTATGCATATGCAGACCTAGCTCGTTTATCAGAATGCTCAATCTGGACATCAGTTACCTTTGGCTAAAACGCCTTCTTCGGAAAGGAGGGAGAAATGGCATGATTGAGAAGGTTAAATTAAATAAAAAAATTATTGATACCAAAGTACTTGAAAGCTAAAAATGTAAAAAAATCTCCCCCGAAACACACACTTATACAAATTTATTAATACTATAATTTTTCATATTAATAAATCATTGAAGTAAAATTATTTCAGACTATAAAGAAACTCGTACTTACTCAATACTTGTACTCTATTTACTGTTATGGATAAAAAAATGCCGTTTAAATTTCTGTTTTTAAACTTTTTTTAAAATTTTATCGCATGTCAAAGGAAAATATTTGCAGTCCATTGGATCAAAGTACCGTATTTACAATAAACATTTATATGAAATATTTTATCACTCAATTAATCTCTCCACACAAATCGTGTTTACTAACCACATTCGGCATTCAAAAGGCATGTTTGTATTGAATAAGCCATACATGGTAGTAATCCAGTTTATCTTGACCCCTCGATATACAATTATTAATTTTATTGCATAAGCGATAAGGGCTATTTGATTCGGTTAATTATAAAGGTTACCTTTGATGTTTGTATCTTTGGCTTTAATGAAATATATCAGTGGATAATTCAGATGGTTAATGTATGCCTGGTATGGATATAGCTTTTTGTTTGTTGGGTCTATCTACTTCAGAATTAATAAACATACCGTTGTATATTATTTTATTGTGTATTATAAATAGTGAATTTACAAGCATGTTCATTAATGCGCCATTTTCCATAAAAACCTAGAAATTCAGGCGTTTTTTTTGGATCATGCTTACAATTGATTAGTCTTATTTTTTGGATGATGCGAAAATCAGTGAAAATACTTCACGCTTTTCGGAGATATACATTATGTTGTCTTATTTTAAATGAATGATAAAAAAAACAATAGCGCTACAACCTTTTTAGGTCTGGGCCTCAGATTTCTGTATCTGTTTCATGATCGTTTGATAAGCTAAGTACCTGACCAGCCTTCTGTGCCTGACGCACGCCCTCGACTTTTTCCTCACGATGTTTTCCTTTACCGTTCGAGCGAATGTTGTTCGACTTTTTTTTATGTGCGCATTTAGGCCAACACCGCTTAAGTGAATGATACACATCCAAAACTTGGTTTTTTTTTCGAAACTAGATATGTAAAAATTCGCGTTTACATCCGAGAAATATTTTTGGTCCAATTAAATTCAATTTTTTAATAGTTTTGGATGACATTTAAAATGATTTCTCTAAATTGAAAACACTTAGAATAAATTATTATATATATTCAGAATGTCTAATTTATTACAGTTACTTACTTACTATTTATGTCAGTTGGAAAAAGCTGGAGGAGGCCTTTACCCGTGAAGGGGTTCCGATCGACGCTACTAAAGAAGCTCGGATATAGGATAACAAGCAAAAGATTTTTTTAATATAAAAATGTAAATTATCTAAGCTGTATATTATAAATTGCTTTTGTCATGATTGGAAATAAAACGGGCTTTATTGTTATTATTATCATTACAGTTACTTAATAATTAGAAGATTACTTAATTATCTACTTGGTTAACATGAAACCGGTTACCGCAAAACATAATATCTGTTTGCAAACACTTCCTCGCCTCAGGCTCTAATTGACTAAGTGCTAGTAGGTACAGAATTAACCGCTATCATGTTTATTTATTCAATTATATGTATATACTAACTTATATATAGTAAACTACACAAGGAATATTTGAACGTATTTAACAAAGAGGTCGATAGAAAAACTAAGCCAATACATTTTTATCTTTTTCACATTTCTGTTTACTAAACAGGAGAGTACAGCGCTCTATTTCCTTTAAAAAATAATGGATTTAATGATTCAATATAAAGTATAATTATCCTCTTTTATCGTGAGAAAATCGTTAAATATCTGGTTGTGGAGGCGTGTACACCCATTTTTGCATGTTTTACTATGGTGTTTTACTTCATATTAACGTAAGTTTATATGAAGACTAATGAATTTTATTTTTATCCCATAATAATATATATCCTATATAGACTTTTCTTGACGCACGAAATTCCAGTCAAAAGAAAGTTCTAATCTAAGTTTGAAAATTCTTACTATATCTATCAGATAGCTTGCACATTAAACATGATTAGTTATGTGAATATAATTATGGTAACTTACAACTAATATCAAGCATAAAGCTCATAGTAACAATAATCCCTTACAAATAGTATATAGAGTTAAAATCGGAATACGAATACGCTAAACTGATTTAACTAATTAAGGTTTTTTTTTTAAATTAATTAATTAAAGTAATTAACTACTAACAAGCTACTTTTATAATTATTTTAATAAAAAAAATCACATTTTAAAGTTGGAACGAAAGCAGTATAATAATGTAAGTTACTAGGAGATCGAATACAGATACCACTTGTTTCAAATCCATAGAAATAATTCTCCATATCGTGTAGCGAGGTGGTCGGACTTCTAAATACTCCAATGTGGTGAGAATCTGCTCCCGATAGGCCTCATCTTGAATGTTAATACATAAAAGTAAACATTGCATCAATAATTTATTAAAAAGTAATTATTGTAACGTTCGAAGCACATTAAGCAATGTTAACTAAAAACCTATTTAATTTATCTCATTGACGACGTATTGGTCTAGTGGTTAGTACCCATGACTGCGAATCCAAGGGTCCCGGTACCCCCCGACGACGTATAAGTCGCAGCCAACTCTTAATTAGCCATTCAGTTAACAGCCTAGTCTCTTTACTCAACAGCGTCGTTAAACTAGCAGTCTGAATGATATTCAGCCATTTGATCAAACAGCTAGCTCAAATGACTTGAATCGATGATATTACAGTACTGGCCATTTCAAATTAGTTCCACTTTCTGCTACCTCACTCCAAACTGCCAATAAAGCGTCGACAAACAACAAATTTAATGATGTTTTCCAAAGTTTAATGAGAAATATTATGGAAGAGTGTAGTGATACTAAGAGTAAACGTAAAAATATGAATAAGTTGTAACGTAAAATGTATTTTAAATATATTAAATAAATAATATCTTATATTAGACATTTCAGCTTTTTTTATTTATGTCACAAGATTGTTCGAATGGCATAAGCATTAGCCAGCCAGTTTATTAAATGTTGTAATAAATGCTACGGCTCAATATAATTCAGGCCGCTGTATAGTAAAGAGCCTAGGCTGTTGATTAAACGGCTAACTAAGCTAGTTGGCTGCCACATATATATCATATTCGTATTGGTTCATGGTCTTGGCTTATTATGATATTTAAACATATTTAATATATTGTAAAAATCTGGGAAATACAATATCAATTAATCATTATAAACTTTAAGATTCCGAACTTCACAGTATTTTAACTACAATAAAACTCACCTAACAATTGGCGCGACTTTTATACGGTATAATCAAATATTACAGATACAAAAATATTCCTATAGAATGAAAGAACAATATTAACTAAAATTAGAAAGAACCTGTAATACACTACTATCGTCACTATAAAATATAGACGTCACCTTTGCAGTGGATCAGCTCTGTGGAAATCAAAGACATCAGCTTCTCGTACTCATTCAGCGTCAGCTCAAGAAACACTGGGCCAATTAACAAGAGTAGAAAGTTAATCAATGAGATAATGAGAATTGACAAGGGTATATCCCATATGCCCTGAAACAGAATTCAACTTTAATGAAACAAATAGGCAAATTTTCATGAATTTTTGTAAAAAATATTATATATATCACAGTATACAACGCTTACATTTATTATACCTTCCATTTCAAGTACGGTAGCAGTAATAAGTGTAAAGCTTTATAGTTGTACAGTACAATCTCGCATCCTTACATTCTTCGGACACGTATCTCGGCGTGGTGATCAGTCCATAGAACGCCTTGTCGTCCAGGGGAAGGTGGAAGGCACTAGACCGCGCGGAAGGTCACCTACGCGTTGGACTGACCAAATCAAGTCTGCCGTAGGAGATTCACTTAATCAGTGCAGCAATTTGAGCTCTAATAGGCAACGATGGCGAAACGTCGTGAAGCGCATCACATCTGCTTCTATTACCACTACTTCATAGCGATCACGACCGCTCTGTCAAGAGTGTACCGGATAGGAAGATTTAGAGTTGTACACACAGCGAAGAAGTGTGGGCCAAGGTGCTTAAGCGAGCATCTCTCACCGCTGAGGTGGTAGGTTCGAATCCCGGCTGTGCACCAATAGAGTTTTTTTAATGTGCGCAGAAACAGAAATGTGGGGCAAAAACCCTTAATTTTTGGGCTGCTCTATTGGTTGTTTCTAATAGTACAGTAATGAAATTTTGCCGTAATTATTTAAATAACTTACTTTCGAAATCACTAACATTATGGCCGAATGTACATCAGCTAACAATGTCACAAAATAGTAAACCAGCTCCAGGAGTGCCTGAAACATGTTTAATCCAAGTGACATATCATAAATAATATCTGCATGCATATGTATAATATATATAGTAGCCATGTAATCATTTTTTTAAATTAAATTTATTTCCCAAAGTCGGTAAAGTGCATTAAAATGACTACAATCACCAAGGCCTAGTGATAGATACGGAATACGGAGATCAATGGTTTGATTACAGGTAAACGATATTTGTTACTACTTGCTTGGATAGAAAGCCCTAAGAGCAGTCTTGTCTTCGCCTTGTTTGCCTTAAATATAAAGAAACAGACGAAAAATAGAATAGAAAGATAATTATTAGTTGTATGTTTTTATTTTTACCTGTGTAGCCCTCAAGTCCGTTCCGAAAAAAGGAAATGTCTATTACGGTAGGCCAAACTACTATTAATGACCTGAAATCTACTTGTGAGATAGTATGCTAACTGCTTGCATTAAAAATATATCGTATAAAAAATTTCGTATTTATTTTTATTTATTTAGAAGAAGTTCCTTCCTAGAAGTTCGCTGCCATGTAATGTTTTCAAGGGGAAGGTGATTAGGTTTTTAAAGTCAAGGTGCTTTTATAGCGTGAGCGAGTATTTAGACCATAAGGTTAACAATTATAAATGACTTAACTTCTTATTATGACATTATGTTAATGTTCTTATAATATGACATTGCAAAAAAATTGTATGACATTTGCATGCCTATTTACTCGTATATATGGCTGATTGTGCGGATTTTTCTTGTTGTTCGATCTAATTGTACCACTATCTTGGCAAATAAACGATTTATTTATTATTTAGTGAGAAAGTAGGATTAAGTAGGTAGGATTATTACCTGTATAGCTAGTATATTATATACTTTTGTAACATTATCAAGCAATGTTTTGTACAAATGTAAGAACTTCCTTAGACAAAACTGCTTTTCATCAAGATTTCCATGAATTAACTTTGAATTCAGCCATTTCCGTAAAAATACCATTCGTGACCACAACATCTCATATATCATAACTGAAGGCAAGTTGGATATAGTTTTCGAAATTTCCGCCATTGCATTTGCAAAGAATGGACCAAATCTTAGGTTTAACAAAATGTAGCCCGCTAAATTACTAACACTTTTAATGAGTATCAAAGTGATGTAAGCGACTAGCCACGCCGATTTAGGCTTTGTGAAATGAATAATATTGTCTAGAGTCACTATACCGGAATGAAATCTTGTAAAATACTCTTGTTTATTCCAAATAGCGAAACCTCCGTTTATAATAAGGAATGAAAACAAATTCACATCATACAAAGCTTTTAGACTATCCGCTACAAACCCAATTGAAAAGTAAACATAAGTAGTTACGCTTATATAGACAATACAATAACATTTACATAAAAACTGAACAATCTTTGATGAAGAACACTCCCAATAATTACCCACAGCGAGACGAAAATATAATATACCCATTACTATGGACATTTTCATGGTGATTTATATTTTCACTTGCTAAAGATATAACAACTGTATAAGGAATGATCAAATGAATTTGAAAACAAAACTTGTTTATTATGATTGACGCCTTATCTATTTCGATCTATAATGAGGTACACTTTCATTATTAACAAATATAGTTTTATGTTAGTGTCCTCAAGGCCTCAACAATAAAATACAAAAGCAAAGAAACATTTTGAATGATTGTAGGTTAATTATAAATAATAAATAATAACGAAACACGAAAAATTCATTTGAATATGTTAAAAAAGCTTTAAAACACAACCTGAAGGACCTAAAGAGTTGTGTTGTGACAGTTCTGAAGCCTTACTCCACACGATTTATTGTCTTGTCTAGTAGTTTAAAGATCATATCATCAAAGGCCAGCCAAAACAAGAAACGACAAAAGGCGTGTGCATGCGCACAAACATGCAGACAAACTCCACCGCCCGGAGTTTTTATATATAGTTAGGTTTCAACCTCTGCATAACTTTAATTAGCGGTAAGAATATGGCTTTAGGCTATGGCCTTTTCACTAATGATTTTACCAGCCTGTACTCAGAGTTGAAGCCCCACATATCCCCCCGCGGACTACAAAACGTTTCTATTTGAAAAAAAAGTATTGTATAACTTATCGTAGTTAAAACAATTTCCAAGCATGTCCTAGACGTAGAGTCTATAGTAATCAAATAGATTCCTTACGATTATTAGCTTCATTAACCCAAATATAGTAATTAAATATGGTAATGAAGGTAAATACTATTCATAAAGTGAATGTTAATTCATTATACAAACACAAATTTACAAAATTCCCTCTCATTCTGAGTTATTCTTTTTTTTATTTAGTTATTAAGTTTACGACATCATAGATAGTACTAAATCTACTGATTATTTTACAAAATATTCCATCTAAAATGTATATCCATTAAAGTAAACGTAAGTTTTACAAAAAAATAGAAATTAAAACATATACAAGATAAGATAAGCACACAATAAAATAAAATAAAATTCCTAGAAATTTGTTGGTACTTAAAGCAGAAAAAAAAGAAAAATATCAGCAAAACAGCGAATTAGGTTCGAGAAAGTACCCAAATGCTTTTTTAAAACATAGCGAAGAATTCGAACGCGAGGTGCCTGAACTCCTAGGTTGGTTTTGGCAGAAGGAATTTGGAAAATATTGCTGATTTTAGACCTAGGGAATAAGCGATGACAATTTTAATATCCTGTAAGAGGTCACGGCTCTGTATATGATTATTTAGCAATTTATGTAAGAAGGAAACACCGGCTAAAGTTCTTCGATTGTACAGTGATATCAAATGAAATTTTTTAAGTCGCTGATGGTACGGGTGTCTATGTGAAAATTCTCTGCTTATGAAAGCTTGGTGTCGCGTAAAAGATCTTTGAATGCTTTCAACGCGTTGCGAATGGATCGCATATAGTGGATTCAATAATATAATACTGCTGCTAATATAATCTTCTAGTCTTAGATGACCCAGTAGCTACTAATAGCTTTGTATCACTATAGAAAATAAGTTTTGATAAATAAGTTAATGTCACGTATTGTATATATAAGGGTAAACAAATTATCTGTATTATCTGTAGTAGTATTTTGACGATTATGATAACATTGTACACAAATGAAACACAGTATAGTGATAATATTATAATATTTCTTAAGAACAACTTTTACGGCACTCACAAACAAATATCGTTTTCATTGAGAATCATAATGTGTCTAATATCAAGTGAATATCAGTAAAACAATAATTGCACGCGCCATTTAAAATCTCTATCTATAGTGGAATTAAAAAGAAGGTGAATCATTACGTCTTTCTAGTAATACTAAAAACACACAATTACAATGTAAATTACAACTATTTAAAACACCCCTAAACTTTAAAATAAAACTATTAATTAAAGATATAGTCTAGTATTGATAATTCCTATGTTAATTCAAAATTGAAATGAAAGCAGTACAATAATATAAGTCGCAAGTAGTTGTACAACTGTTACCACTAGTTTCAAATTCATAGAAATAATCCGCCATACTGTGAAGCGAGGGGGTCGAACTTCTAAGTACTCCAATGTGGTGAGAATCTGCTCACGATAGGTGCTATCTAGAGAATAATTTAATATTTTTAATCGTCTCTTCATATTCAATAATTTATAAATGTATCTATCATATTACCTTTGCAGTGTATCAACTCTGTGCTAATCAAAGACATCAGCTTGTCGTACTCATGAAGTGTCAGCTCAAGAAACAGTGGACCAATTATCATGAGCATAAAATCTAGCAGCGAGGTCACGAAAATCGACAGCGATATTCTTAATTTCGCCTAAAACACACCTCAGTTTTATGTAAGATCCAGTCGTAAGATTATATTTTTACAATCGCCTTTTTTATCCTTAGTCAATCTAGTATAGAGCTACAATCGATACTCGGGCTGCCGGACACCAAAAACCTAGATTTTGAAAAACGCACTTGTTAGAAATTGCTTAACCCTGAGTGGTATAATTGAAGTGAAAACTTCTTTAGCTGCGTTGTACACTTTTTTGGAATGGGTAAAAAATTTTAAACTCGCGTCAGGGCACGTGACCTGATCGAAAATTCGTAAGACGGATGGAGAGTAGACAGCTGGCGCGGCGTATTTAATGTAATATAAATTGTCATGTTTGTGTACGATAGCGCAATAAATAAATATTGTATTCTACGACATAAATGTTTGTACTTTTATACTGATAATTAAAGCAATTCGTGCAAAATTATTCCCTAACCATTCTGCACTTCGGCACTTCTGCCGGCACTACCGGAGTGCAACTCGTCGTTTTTTTTATTATTATTAGTTTTGTTTATCCAACTATCTATTACATAAATAATACAACCCTGGACTGCTTTTTATGAATTTATAAATATGTGATAAGGTTTTGCTAAGGAACATCAAAAAAAAATTTATTCTAGATAAGTTCAAACTTTGTCTTCGATTAGGAATTTTCAGAAAATAAACTTCAGCTGTAAATATAAGTGTTGTTATTATTTCTATAGGTTAGTTACTATTTGAATAACATACGTTTCCCATTACTATCATCACTATGGAGGAATGTATATCAAATAATAATTTCGTAAAATGGTAAATCAGCTCCATGAATGCCTGAAACAAGTATTCTGTTTAAAAAAATGCAAATCCATTATACTATTACATAGTAATGCATTCATAATATATGAATGTATTCCATATAAAATCATACTAGATTTATTATTTAAACTAATCTATTAGTACTATTACGGACAACGAACGCTGATAAACGAAGCTGGCAGCCGGATGTTGGTCCAGGAAAAGGTCGGTGGGTGAGCAGATAGCGAAAACGTCGGCGACTCCCTTTACCAACGTGTAGATTTTAGGCTTCAATTTAAGATATCATTTATACCCATTAGTAGACAGATTTATGTAGCCGTTTCGGACGTTAGACATAGCTTTGTTTCGTCTTGTAATTTTGTTCGAGTACCACTAAGGTTCGACCAATAAACGGAATATTTACAACTCCACTTCGAGTTTCATTTCGAGAGTACGGCTGACTTTAAACTTTAAGATAATAAATGTTAAAGTTATTATTTGACTCTCGTTCCTACGACTGCCGTTTGAAGCTGACGTTAACATTTTTAATAATTTATCGGTCGTATTATTCTTAATATTCTGGTCGTCTTTTCTAGTCATTTAGGTCTTTCTGGTCATCTAGGTTCTCGTTTTCTGCTTTGTCAACAATCGGTACCTGTCACCGCCTTCTTGACGTTAGACGTAAATATTCATATCATTATTAGTTAGTGACTTTGACTTTCTTCCTTTCTCCACGTTAAATCCTTACCTTAATTATTCAGGAGCTGCTTTTATTCATGAATCTCGTTGTCTCTTTGTCTAAACTACTAACAGCTTATATTAAATGAAGAAATTAAATAGTTGAAAATATTATATGCAGTATAATTAATACTTTATAACAAATTAAGCACAATATATCAAATTATATCGAAAAACAAGCTCAAGCAGTCTCCCTTGCATCTTTTATAAGACTATAATATCTTCTTTTAAGAATTTCTTTGTATTTATTGCTGGTGTGACATACTAACCCTGGATTCAATTCCAAAAAACAAGGACTGTTTCGTCTTGCTAACAACACAAACATATAAAACAAAAATATAATATAAAGATTTAAAATGTTCAGATTTTTGTGTGTAAAAGCGTGCCAAATAACAACAATCACTTTCTTAGTCTAATTAAGTAGAATTATTACCTGTAAAGCCAGTATCTTATATACTTTTGTAATATTATCAAGCAATGTTTTGTACAGATGTAAGAACTTCCTTAGACAAAACTGCTTTTCATCAAGATTTCCATGAATTAACTTTGAATCCAGCCATTTGCGTAAAAATGCCATTCGTGACCACAACATCTCATATATCATAACTGAAGGCAAGTTCGATACAGTTTTCGAAATTTCCGCCATTTGAGTTGCAAGAGTTGGAATAAATTCAAAGTCCAAGAACATAGTGAAATTACCTGCACTTTTAATGACTATTAAAG